TTGGACTAGTGGCTTGTCAAGATTTTCTGGTTGGGGGACCTTGTGCCTGTGTTCTGGTGGCTGGAGCTGGATCTCTTCTCTCTGAAGTGCAATAAAGTGTCCAGTAATGAGTTTTGGGGTGTTTATGGGTTTGGCATGGTTTTGGGCAGCCTATCTTTTAATGTTCAGGTTTGGTTTCCATTTTGCTGGAGAATTATTGTGCTGCGTTTTGCACTGGAACTTGTTGGCTCTTGGGTGGAGCTTGGTTTCAGTGTAGATATGGAGACTTTTGGGTGAGCTCTTGTATATTAATGTTCCCTGGAGTCAGGAGTTCTCTGATGTTCTAAAGTTTTGGAGTGAAGCCTCCTGCCTCTGGCTTTTAGTCCTTCTCTGACAGTAGCCTCAAGACGTCTTCATCCATACAGCACAGAAATTAAAACCCCTAGGTTAATGGTGAAAAAATTCTCCACAGCCAGGAACACCCAGAGAGATTCAGAGTTATATAGAGAAGAGAAGAGGGAGGGAGGAGTTAGAGGAGAGCTGGAGGATAAAAGGGAGAGTCAAAGGGGAGAGAGCAAGCAAGCCAGTCATCAAAAGTGAAAATGGATACTGAAGATTAGGTTCAAAAATCAAAGATTAAAAATGTAGAATATAAGTCATATTCTCACAAATACAATATAAAAAAGCAAAACAAATTCAATCACAAAAATTAAAGAAAAAGTACATATTGATTTTTTTTTTTCTTCCAAAAAGTAGTCTTTTTTTTGGAATGGTAATAGTGGCTATAAGGAGAAGGAAATGGCAACCCTCCAGTATTCTTGTCTGGAAAATCCCATGAACAGAGGAGCATTGTGGGCTACAGTGCATAGGGTTGCAAAGAGTTAGACACGACTGGGCGACTAAACAACAAGTGGCTATAAAAATGAAAGTTAAAGGAGTAATAAAGAACTAACTTAAAAAAAAAGTGATAATACTAAAAATATATCTAGGAATTTCTCTGGAGTATTGTGGACTGTGTGGGGTCAGTTCAATGTCAGATAGTCCCTTGTTCTGGCCTGTGCTTGTTCTCAAGGTCTATAGAAAGTGAAAGTGAAAGTCACTCAGTCACGTCTGACTCTTTGTTACCCCATGACTTATACAGTCCATAGAATTCTCCAGGCCAGGATACTGGAGTGGGTAGCCTTTCCCTTCTTCAGAGGATCTTCCTGACCCAGGAATCAAACTGAGGTATCCTGAATTGCAGGTGGATTCTTTAGCAACCGAGTAATCAGTGAAGCCCCAAGGTCTATAGGTGCCCTTCAAATGCACAATCTCAGTATTAACTAAAGGGTTTTAATCTGTTGCACCTGTCACTTCCAGAGTGGTTCCCCTTTGTTTATTTTGGCTTCCTCTGTTTGCAAGTCTCTTCAGTGTCTAATTTACGCCCTGATACAAGAGGGCCACTTATAAGGTGGCCATTTGTTTAGGCTCACTTGTTCAGTTGTGTCGTGGGCAGGGAGGGACACTGAAAACAAAAACAACTGGCATATGTGGGGAGTGCTCACAGTGGATGGACCACAGTGTGTTTGCCACAGCCCAAGGTGGCGTGTACTTCCCAGGTCCACACTGCTCAGGCTCCAGGGTGCTGTGCAAGGGCAGTGTCCCAAATGGGTCCTGCATTTTGTGCATATCCCAGGTGTATGTTGCTCAGATTCTCAGATGCTCTACAGGGGGAACAGACCCAGATAGGCTATGCATTTTGTGCCCTTCCCATTTTCGAGCAGCTCAGGCAACCGGATGCTTGTGAGTGCACTGTCCCAGGTGGGCTGTGCATCTTATTCACCTCCCCAGGCTTGGCCACTCATTTTCCAGGGAGTGCTACAAGAGCACAGTCCCAGGCGTGCCATGTGTCTCCTCTGGGGAGCTGATCTTGTGAGGCTGTGCCATGATAGGCAGCCTAGGTTAGGAGTAGGCCTTGTTTTCCAGGGTAACATGATTATCAGGCCACCTGGAGCCAGCCAATCAACATGCGCCTAGTAAGAAAAAGGGAACCTACCAGGGGAAAGCTGAAAAGCCCACGAATGCCCAAGTTTGAAAAAAAGCCCACGAAGGTTTGGGCAAATAAGGTTACTTTGAAAACATGTAACCAATCCGCTTAAGCCAGCTACCAACTGCTTATGCACACCTTATAAATTGGGGAACAGCTTGGGCTCAACGCTCTCTGACCCTGTACCACTGCATTGGACGCGTGGCAGGAGCCCTGACTCGAGTCAGCAATAAACTTCCCTTTTATGCGAGTTGCATTGTCTTGGAAGCCTTCTCTCTTCCCCCTCAGGGATTCAGATATTGGGCATAACATTTGGGGGCTCGTCCAGGATCCCTTGACCAGGGAAGGAGAACACTTCCAGGACAGAGGGGAAGGATAGATATAGCACCGGTGCTCAGGCAGGACAGGAAAGTCCAGTGTAAATCCGAGGCCCTGCTGAGAATCAGGAAGGTATCTGGCATGGGAGAAAGCTTTCTATAAAGGGGGAACGGATTGGACGTTCCAGCCGGCACAAGACCGAGGCCAGCGAGATCGCTGGAAGGCTGCTGGCTCTGCGGGAAGGGGAGTTCCTCTCCTGATCCCGAGTCTGGTGAACAGTGGACGCCATTCGGTAAGATAAACCTTGTACTGGGAGACAAGAGGACTCAGGGGGCCCGAAAACCCAGCGCTGTGTTGTCGGCTGACATTTGTCTATCTGTGTGTTTGTCTACGACCCTCCGTGTTTGTGTGTGTGTGCCGGCATTGTCTCTGGTCCCGTTCTCTTCTGGTGCATTGTTCTCTTCTCTCTCTTCTGACTTACTCTCCTTTCCTCTTCTTCTCTGATCTGCCCTCAACTCCTTTTATTTTTGGGAGTTTCAGTGAACAGGTGAACAGTTGTGGGGGCAACTGATGAGTCCCGGCCAGGGCTACACTCTGGCGGACTCTGAAGGCCCTACAATAAGTGAGCCTCAGTAATGGGAGCCCGAATGGGTGAAACTCTCCTTTAACATCCCTAACTGAGGACTTGGCCTAAAATTCTTTGTGTGGGCACGGGTCAGGCACTTAAAGGCCATTAGGGCGCCTGCCACTTGAAGACTTCCATGAGAGGATAAGGGGGCCACGGAACGGGCTAGAAACCCCTAGGGTGCCCGCCCCCAGCAAGAAAACTTCCGTGCAACGACGCAGGCACATAAACAGTTCCAAAAGCATACCATAAGCCCAACCTCTTGGCCGCCACCACTCCCGGTAGGATTTTTTGGTGGTCGTTCTCAGTGACTTCTCTCTCTCTCTCTCCCCTACAATTTATTCTTTGACCATGGGTCAGGGGGAATCTACCCCACTTTCTCTCATGACTGACCACTTTTCGGATGTCAGGGCTAGGACCTATAACTTGTCTTTACTAGTCAAAAAAAGGAAATTAATAAACTTTTGCTCTGCAGTGTCCCGCCTTCTGGGTTGGATGGCCTCCGGAAGGCACCTTTCAACCGTCCATCATACAGGCCATGAGGGAGAAGATTATGGCTCCTGATCTCTGGGGCGATCCGGATCAGGTCCCCTATGTCATGGTCTGGCAAGATCTAGTGGAAAATCCTCCTAAGTGGTTAAAACCTTTCATTTACAAACTTCCTAGTTCTTCCAATTCACAGGTCCTGGTGATGGAGACCCCTCCAGAAGAAACCAAAAAGAAAGAGGACCCAAAACCAGTCCTTCAGGAATCATCTTATCCAAACCTGATAGATCTAGAAATGGAGATAAGGCCTCCACCTTATGTGCCCCCCTTGCAATTCTCTCCGAGGAGAGAAGCTCCCACGGGTGAACCGAGAGGATTAAGAGGGCCAACGGGAACCGACCATGGGGGGGGGGGGGAGCAGCATTGGGGACCCGGGGGAGAACTAGGGGAGATAGGGGTGGACAAGACCCTGGGGACCCAGAGTTACCTTCATCTACTGTTCAGGCGCTCCCCGTCCGAGTGGGACCAGCTAACGCGGACAGAAAGCGAACCTATCAGTACTGGCCCTTTTCCACGAGTGACCTGTATAATTGGAAAACCCAGAACCCTCCTTTCTCAGAGAAAGGACCTCGTTGACCTCTTAGATTCCATTTTGTTCACTCACAACCCCACCTAGGATGATTGTCAGCAGCTGTTGCAGGTGCTCTTCATCACAGAAGAATGGGAGCAAATTCTGGCAGAGGCACGGAAACGGGTCCTGGGGGTCGACGGGAGACCAACCGCCCAGCCTCATCTCATGGATGAGGGGTTTCCTCTGTTGCGGCCTAACTGGGAATTTGAGCGAACAGAAGGTAGGGAGCATCTCCGAGTGTACCGCCAGACTCTAATGGCTGCCCTGCGGGCCACAGCTAGAAAGCCGACAAATTTGACAAAGGTAAATTTAGTAAGGCAAGAGCCAACTGAGAGCCCGTCAGCCTTCCTAGAGAGGCTGATGGAAGCTTTTAGGCAATATACACCTATGGACCCCCAGGTTGAAGAGTCATGGGCTGCAGTTCTGTTAATATTTGTAAATCAGGCAGCCCCAGATATTAGGATAAAATTACAAAAGATAGAGGGGTTGGGAAAACAGACAATACAAGATTTACTGAAAGCAGCTGAAAAGATATTTAATAATAGAGAGACCCCAGAAGAAAGGGGAGAGCGAATTTGACGAGAGGAAAGGGAATTAGCTGAGAAGATCAGGAAGGAAGATGGGGAACATAGGGCAAAGGAAACTTGGAAGAACCAGAGGGAGCTAGCCCAGATTCTTTTTGCAGGGATGAAGGCCGGAACAGAATTGAGGGAGCCTCAAGACCCCCAGACGGGAGAAAAAGAGAGACCAAAAAGGCAGGCCCTAAAGAAAGATCAGTGCACTTACTGCAAAGAACGGGGGCACTGGAAAAACGAGTGCCCTAAGAGGGACCCAAAGAGAGGAACAACCCAGAGAGAGAGAATCTCCCCTGGAACTCAAGTTCTATACACGGGGGAAGACAGTGACTAGAGGAGTCAAGACTCCGCACCCCTCCCCGAGTCCTGGGTAACCATACATGTGGAAGGGAAACCCGTTGGCTTCATGGTAGATACTGGAGCCCAACACTCTGTTTTAAATAAAAAACTGGGACCAATGTCTAAGAAAACCAGCTTGGTGCAGGGATCCACGGGGACAAAAAGATATTGTTGGACCAGAGAACGGAAAGTAAATCTAGGGACCCACCAGGTGTCCCATTAGTTTTTGGTGATACCAGAATGCCCAGCCCCTCTACTTGGAAGAGACTTGTTGACTAAAGTTAATGCTCAGATACATTTTGACCCTGGGGGAATGTAAGTCACGGATGGACTTGGACAGCCGATACAGGTCTTAACCCTAGCTTTAAGAGATGAATACAGACTTTTTGCGCCTAAGCCCTCAGAGGTTATAGCACCAGATGTACAACCGTGGGTCCATAAATACCCATTGGCCTGGGCAGAAACGGCAGGAATGGGACTGGCCAAACAGAGACATCTGGTCGTCATCGAGCTAAAGGCTAAGGCAATTCCTGTGAGGGTGAGACAGTACTCTATGAGCCAGAAAGCTTGGTGGGGGATAACTCCCCACATTCGATGGCTCATGGATGCTGGAATTCTCAGGCGGTGCCAATCCCCTTGGAACACCCCCTTACTGCCGGTGAAGAAGCCAGGGGTGACAGATTACAGATCTGTCCAAGACGTGCGAGAAGTCAACAAATGGGTGAGTGACATACACCCTACTGTCCCTAACCCGTCTACCCCCCTGAGCAGTTTACTGCCTGAGTACACTTGGTACACTGTGTTGGACTTAAAAGATACTTTTTTCAGCCTTCCCCTGGCGGCCCAGAGCCAGGAGATATTTACCTTTGAGTGGACTGAGGGGAAGGCTAACCGATAGTACAGTTAACTTGGACCCGCCTCCCACAGGGGTTCAAGAACTCCCCTACCTTGTTTAATGAGGCTCTGAGTGAGGATCTCTATGAATATCGGACTTGCCACCCAGAGGTCATTCTGCTACAATATGTAAATGACCTTATGTTGGCTGGAACCACAGAGGAGGCATGCAGCCGTGCCACCGGGGACCTCTTACAGACTCTAGGTACCTTGGGGTATCGCGCTAGCGCAAAGAAGGCGCAAATAGCCCGGCAAGAGGTCACCTATTTGGGGTATAAGATCAGGCAGGGGCAAAGGTGGCTAATTCAGGCCATGAAGGAAACAATATTGCAGATACCAGAGCCCAAGACTCCCCGCCAGGTGAGAGAGTTTCTGGGGACTGTTGAATATTGCAGACTGTGGATCATGGGGTTTGCTGAGAAGGCCCAGCCCTTGTATGAGGGAAGTAAAGAGACCCCAAACTGGACTTGGACTGAGCCAATGAAACAGGCTTTCCAGACACTCAGACGTGCCCTACTAGAAGCCCCAGCCCTTGCCCTGCCTAACCCAAATAAGCCATTCCAGCTGTTTGTAGATGAAAAGCAAGGAATAGGAAAGGGGGTCTTGACACGACAATGGGGACCATGGAAGCAGCTGGTGGCATACCTTTCAAAGCGATTAGATCCAGTGGCCGCTGGGTGGCCCCCTTGCCTTTGCATCATTGCAGCCACTGCCCTCCTCGTCCACGACACTGACAAGTTGACATATGGACAGCAACTCTGGGCTTACACCCCTCATGCCATCAAAGGGGTTTTAAAGCAGCCACCGGGTAAGTGGATCTCCAATGCCCGCTTGACACATTACCAGGCCTTGCTGCTTGATGCCCCATGGGTGCGTTTTCAGACCCCTTGCTTCCTGAATCCAGCCACGCTCCTACCTAACCCAGAGAAAGACTACCCTCTCCATGATTGCAGTGACATACTGGCTGAGGCCCTGGTGGCACAAAAAGACTTAACTGATGTACCGCTAAACAGCAGTGAGCTAGTATGGTTCACCAATGGGAGCAGCTATGTAAGAGATGGGCAAAGGAAGGTGGGAGCCGCCATAGTTGATGATTCAAGACAGACGATATGGGCTGAGACACTTCCCCCAAACACTTCTGCCCAAAAAGCAGAATTGATTGCCCTAATACAGGCTCTGGAGCAAGCCAAAGGGAAGAGAGTCACCATTTTTACTGACAGCCGATATGCTCTCAGCACTGCCTATATTCAAGGTCCAATATACCAAGGAAGGGGATTTTGGACAGTTGAGGGAAAGGAGGTCAAAAATTTGCCTGAGATTCACAGGTTCCTGAAAGCTGTCCAATTGCCCCGGGCAGTAGCAATAGTACAAGTCCCCGGTCACCAGAAAGGAGAAGACCCTAAGGCACAGGGCAATTGTGCCGCTGATGCGGCCGCTCGAGAAGCGGCTAGCCGGGACTACACCGCCCCCATATTAGCCGTGGAACTTCCACCTCCTGGAATGGGGACTCTGCCACCAGTTCCTGAATATTCCCTCCCTGATCTTGTCTGGATCAACGAGGATACCACCCTCCAGAAGGATGACAAAGATGGATGGTACCGAGATCAAAACAACAACCTGATATTGCCTGCCATCCTGGGTCGTCACCTGTGTGAACACCTGCACACAACTACACACTTGGGAGAGAAAAAGACCTTGACACTTCTCCAGACGGCCTGCCTGAGGTTCCCTCGACAAAATGCAACTGTACGAGAGATAATCCAGGCTTGCAAAGCGTGCCAGCTGATGAGGACAGAGAAAAAGCAGCACATGGGAACGAGGTACCGAGGGGAAGAGCCAGGGCAACACTGGGAGATAGATTTCATTGAGGTAAGACCAGGCAAGTACGGGTATCACTATCTGTTGGTTCTGGTAGATACCTTCTCAGGGTAGGTAGAAGCCTTCCCTACGAAGGGAGAGACAGCAATAGTGGTTGCTAAAAAGATCTTAGAGGAGATAGTGCCTAGGTACAGGCCGCCAGTGACTGTGGGCTCTGATAACGGACCTGCCTTTGTGAGCCAGATTGTACAAGGGCTGGCCCAAGCTCTAGGGACAAAATGGAAGTTACATTGTGAATATAATCCCCAGAGCTCAGGACAGGTTGAGAGAATGAATCAGACCCTAAAAGAAACTTTGACAAAGTTGGCAACAGAGACTGGCGGGAACTGGGTGACCCTCCTTCCCTTCACACTCTTTCGGGTGCATAACACCCCTTATAAGCTGAATCTTACCCCTTTTGAGATTCTGTATGGAAGACCCCCTCCTGTGTGTCCTATTTTCGAGGGAAAATGCCTGCCATCCCCTACTTTGGGACAATTCCAGCAAACTCTGATGGCATTAAGTAAGGTGCATAACCATGTTTGGAAATTGATTCGAGAGATACACGAGGGTCAATGTAAGGGGGCCATCCCCTCACATAATATTGGCCCAGGTGACTGGGTTTGGGTAAAACAGCACCAATCTAAAGTATTAGAACCTAGATGGAAAGGCCTTTATGTTGTTCTCCTTACCACTCCTACCACTGTTAAGGTCGACGGGATTGGACCCTGGGTTCACTGCAATCACGTGCGGCAAGCCACTCTCGGAAGAACAGGAAAAAGCACGAGCAGAATGGAAGGCGAGTCCTCACCCATCAAATCCTTTGAAACTGAGACTTGTTTGATGAGAGACCTCCTAATTCTCCTGCTGATGGCAGCTCTCATCGACACAGGAGCGACCAGCCACAACCCCCATCATCCGGTTAACATGACTTGGGTGGTCTACAACCCTGAGACCGGAGGACTACTTAATTCGAGTTCCAACATAGCCCCCAAAGGGACATGGTGGCCTGAATTGACCTTTGATTTATGCGTCCTGGCAGCCGACATTAACGGCTTCCACGGTCCCAGTCAACTGATTGACTTCATCAGGAGTCCTCAGTTTGAAACCCTCGGCCTTTTTGACTGGGCCTTCCAGGGAGAAACACCATGCACAAAACCAACACCCGTATATGTCTGTCCAGGGGGAGGAAGGGATCGGAACCAAATTGCAAGATGTGGGGGAGTTGATTCTTTTTATTGCACCGCTTGGGGATGTGAAACTACAGGAATGGTCCATTGGCTCACTAATCCTGTCAAAGACCTCATTCCGGTAAAATTACCCCAAGATTTCCCATCATGTAAGATGTTGTCATCTAAACCTGGACAATGTTTTCCATTACAGATTAAGTTCACTGATGAGGGAAAAAGATTTACCAGGTGGGACATAGGCAGAGCCTGGGGCCTACGTCTTTATCAGACTGGATCTGATAATGGATTCTAGTTTGAGCTCAAATTACAACTGGGATCACTCTATTTGGCCCCCAAGGTAGCTTTGGGACAAAACCAGGTGACAGCCCCAAAACCTTCTTCCCAGAGGACAACCCCAAAACCTCCCTCCCAGAACCAAAGTCAAGATACTGGATCTACTCCACACCCCATAGCTCCCCCTATAGTTGACATGTCCCCACCGACAGACCCCCTTATAAAAATGATCTCCTCAGCTTACCTTACCCTTAATGCCTCTCGTCCGGACTTAACAAATGGTTGCTGGCTCTGCTATAATATTAGGCCTCCTTATTATGAGGCAGTTGCTTTTTCTTCAGGATTCAATATGACAGCTGATGTCTCAGCCTGTAGACGGCAGCAACAACCTGGTACGGGCCGCCTGACAGTAACCTCCATTATGGGTATAGGCACCTGCATAGGAGCTATCCCCGAGACTTATCAACACCTATGTAATCACACAGTCTCTATGACTAACCTCACTAATTCCACTCACCAGTGGATCATCCCACCAGAAAATGGGTGGTGGGCTTGCTCCACCAGACTAACTCCGTGTGCCCATCAGGCAGCACTAAAAACCTCCCAAGATTTCTGTGTCCTAGTCCATCTAATCCCCGGGCAGAACTATTACCCAGAAGAAGGCCTGCAGCCAAAGTTAGAGACACCAGGTCAGTATAGGGTAAAAAGAGAGCCCGTCACTGCCCTAACTTTAACTGTCCTGATGGGATTGGGGGCTATAGGAACTGGAAGTGGTGCAGCCTTAACGCTCCAAGATAAACAGTATAACCAGTTAAGGGCTGCAATAGATGAAGATATTGAACAACTCGAAAAATCCATTTCCCACCTCCAAGAATCCTTAAGTTCTCTGGCTGAGGTAGTGTTACAAAATGGAAGGGGTTTAGATCTGCTGTTCTTACAACAAAGAGGACTATGTGCAGCCCTAGGAGAAGAATGCTGTTTTTATATTGACCATTCAGGAGTAGTACAGAAATCTCTTCAAAAAGTTAGAGAAGGCCTAAGCAGGCAAAAACAAGAAAGAGAAAATGAACAATCATGGTTTGAGTCTTGGTTTCAACGCTCCCCCTGGCTGACCACCTTAGTTTCCACCCTCCTGGATCCACTTATAGTACTGTTATTGACACTAACGATTGGCCCTTGCATTTTAAACCGGTTAATGTCTTTTATTAAAGAGTGTCTAAATACCATTCAGATTATGGTATTGAGGCAACAATATCAGATGGTAGCCCAGGATGAAGAGAAAGATTCCTCTACAGAAACAACAAGACAGGGGGGAATGTGAGGCTGCACCATGATAGGCAGCCTAGATTAGGAGTAGGCCTGGTTTTCCAGGATAACATGATTATCAGGCCACCTGGAGCCAGCCAGTCAACATGCACCTAGTAAGAAAAAGGGAACCTACCAGGGGAAAGCAGAAAAGCCCACGAACGCCCAAGTTTGAAAAAAAGCCTGCGAAGGTTTGGGCCAATAAGATTACTTTGCAAACATGTAACCAATCCGCTTAAGCCAGCTACCAACTGCTTATGCACACCTTATAAATTGGGTAACAGCTTGGGCTCAGTGTTCTCTGACCCCGTACCACTGCGTTGGATGTGCGGCAGGAGCCCTGATTCGAGTCAGCAATAAACTTCCCTTTTATGCGAGTTGCATTGTCTTGGAAGCCTCTCTTCCCGCTCAGGGATTCGGACATCGGGCATAACAATCTCAGGCTGTGACACTCCTGGAAGATGCGAACCATCCAGGATCCCAGGAAGACGTTGTTAGCAATTGGGAGCTTGCTCAGAGTTTGGTGGAAAATGCATTCTCTGGGGCTGAGATTGCAGCAGCCCCTTGTCTTCTGGCTCTGGCGGTCCCACACTGCCTCTGCCTCTGGGGAGGGAGGGCCCTATATGGCAGCTGGCTTGCTCTCCTTTTGTATTGACTCAGTCCTTTGTTCTGTGAGCAAGCCAGGGGTCATGTACATTAAGAGCATTTCCCGGAAAAGGCCTTTTTTTTTTTTTTGTCTCAGGCAATTCCTTGGTTTGGGTTGCTATTTCACATTAGCTCCCTCAGATTGTCCTCAGGGCATTCAGGCCCCGTCCTTACCCTAAGGACAGATGATGCAGGAAGTGCCACCCTGCCCAGCCCCCACTTGCTGGTGACAGAGACAAGTTTCTATGCAGCTTCTCCATCTCTGCTTGTGGTTGAGGTTAGGCCCATATTCTGTGTTTGTTTGTTTGTTTGTTTGTTTGTTTGTTTCCCACCCAGTTATGTTGTTCTGAGATTCCAAAACTCCTCACAGACACACCTGTGAGAGGGTTTGCTACTGTGTGGAAACTTTTCCTCCTTCATATCTCCCTCCCCGGGATGGGTCTCTGTCCCTAAATCTTTTGTCTCTGTTTTCATCTTTTATATTTTGCGCTACTCCCTTTTGAAGAGATTGGACTGCCTTTCTGGATGCCTAGTGTCCTCCATCAGTGTTCAGAAGTTATTTTGTGGAAGTTGGTGAATATTCAAATGATCTTTTGGTGAAATTGTATGGGAGAAGGTGGTCTCCCTGTCCTATTACTCTGCCATCTTGGGACCCTTTCTTTGTTTCTTGTTGTGTTTATTTAGTTTAGTGATTCATGAGCATATGGGTCATTTTTCATATCATTTTTAGAAATATTTTCTTCTCTAATCTTTATTTCTCCTATTCTTCTAGTGTTCCAATAAATATATATCAAACCACTTATTATCAAAGAGGTCACTGAGCTTCATTGATGTTACTCAAACTTTTTGACCTTGATGCTGCTGTTTGGAGAGGTATTTTGTTTGTGTTTACCCTATCTATATATGTATTCACTGACATTATCTAGTTTCTAACATTTCCAAGTCCATTCAGGAAAAAAAAAAAGAAAGAAAGAAAAGAAAATCACTTTCTTCAATTCTAGAGATTCAGGTTTTTTGTTTTTTTGTTTTTTTTAGTATATTAATTTATCTATATTTCCTAATTGTTCTCTAATTATATCTATAACTGACTTTCAAACTTTTTCACGTTTATTAGAGTTACTTTGAATAGTTTACTACCCTTGTGGCTAAGTGCTAAAGAACATGCCTGCAATGAAGAAGAAATTAGTTCAATTCCTGAGTTGTTATGATCCCTTGGAGAAGGAAATGGCAACCCACTCCAGTATTCTTGCCTGAGAAATCCTATGGACAGAGGAGCTTGGTGGGCCACAGTCCATAGGGTCTCAAAAGAGTTGGACATAGCATAGTGACTAAACAACAACAAATTATTAATTTCAAAATTTCCTTGCTTTAAAAAGTTTTCTCTTTCTTTATTTTTACCCTAGAAATGAATAGCATTATTCTAATCCATCACTAACTAAATTAATTAGTTAATAATTAATTAATTAAAGCATCAAAGAACGCTGAAACTACCACACAATTGCATTCATCTCACACGCTAGTAAAGAAATGCTTAAAATTCTTCAAGCCAGGCTTCAGCAATACATGAACCATGAACTTCCAGATGTTCAAGCTGGTTTTAGAAAAAAAGCAAAGGAACCAGAGATCAAATAGCCAACTGTCGGGAGCTGGAGAGAGAAACCCCGCCCGTGACAAGGTCTGGGTTCAAGGAGCTGGCACGTAAAGGCGTCTGGACCTCCAAGGGTTTCTCAGGACTGCCCCACCATCCACTCCCAGGCCTTCGTCCCTTCATCTTCTGATGCTTGGCATTCTTCTATGTTCCCTAAAACCTAGTCTGACTCTTACCTAAAATCCCTCCTTGAAACCTTTGCATGGAAGCAACATAGTCCCTAAGGGCACATGGGTCCCAGTAAACAGGCCAGACTTAAGGAAAATATTACACAGAACATCCTGCCTCTTCTGGCTCTGTTGGAATTATGATTGCCAATTTAGAATCTGAAATGCTCATGATTGCACAAAAACCCTTCTAGCACAAAACCAAATCTGCTAGAAAAGGTCTATCTATCCCATAAGCAAAAGTAGATAAAGAGTCCACTACAAGATTGAAAAGATTCCTTAGGGTGTGATCAGGAGGGAATTCATGAGACCTCTGACCCTTAGGATTACATACCAGAGCTTGCTGTCATACCTCCCTGCCCCCTATCCATACTGTGCCTGGGGGCATATTAGAAGCAGACACAGAAATAAGAGTAAATAACAGAAGAAGTATCCGAAGGGATTTAGATGGATAACAAAATAAACATAATGTAAATTTTACCTTTGCTGATGTAGGGGGTAGAGGTTAAAAGTCAAATATCATGCTACCTGTGAAGCCAAAAAGTCGGCCTGGGGCTGAGCTTCCCAAGATAAGGTTTGTAGATGGCTTTTCACAGTTGACTAGCTGCTGCCATTGAATTGTTTAAAAGTTATGTGTAGGTATTGACTCTTCTGGAAAGTTATTTATGATGTAACCTGTGATTATGCACATTATGCACCTGGTATAATCTTATAATTCCCCCCTCCTTAAGCCTCTTTAAAAGATTATTGGCTCTAGTGTATATAAGCACTGATGTAAAAGAATAAAATAGTCTTGATTCAGCACTCAACCGAGACTCAACTTGCTTTCTTTTCTTCAGCGGCGCTGCTCATCCAAAGGGAACCCCTGGACTCTGCTGGGGCTGGACCCCAGCAGCCAACATCTGCTGGAACATTGAAAAGGCAAGAGAGTTCCAGAAAATCTTCTATTTCTGCTTTACTGACTATGTCAAAGTCTTTGACTGTGCGGATCACAATAAACTGTGGAAAATTCTGAAAGAGATGGGAATACCAGACTACCTGACCTGCCTCTTGAGAAACATATATGCAGGTCAGGAAGCAACAGTTAGAGTACATCATGAGAAATTCTGGACTGGAAGAAGCACAAGTTGGAATCAAGATTGCTGGGAGAAATATCAATAAACTCAGATATGCAGATGACACCACCCTTATGGCAGTGAAGAAGAACTAAAGAACCTCTTGATGAAAGTGAAAGAGCAGAGTGAAAAAGCTGGCTTAAAGCCCAACATTCAGAAAACTAAGATCATGGCATCAGGTTCCATCACTTCATGGGAAATAGATGGGGAGACAGTGGAAACAGTGGCAGACTTTAGTTTTTTGGGCTCCAAAATCACTGCAGATGGTGATTACAGCAATGAAATGAAAAGACACTTACTACTTGGAAGGAAAGTTATGACCAACCTAGACAGCATATTAAAGCGCAGAGACATTACTTTGCCAACAAAGGTCCATCTAGTCAAGGCTATGGTTTTTCTAGTGGTCGTGTATGAGTGTGAGAGTTGGACTATAAAGAGAGCTGAGCACCAAAGAATTGATGCTTTTGAACTGTGGTGTTGGAGAAGACTCTTGAAAGTCCCTTGGACTGCAAGGAAATCCAAGCAGTCCATCGTAAAGGAGATCAGTCCTGGGTGTTCATTGGAAGGACTGATGTTGAAGCTGAAGCTCCAAATCTTTGGCCACCTGATGCAGAGGGCTGAATTAATGGAAAAGACCCTGATGCTGGGAGGGATTGAGGGCAGGAGAAGAAGGGGATGACAGAGGATGAGATGGCTGGATGGCATCACTGACTTAATGGACATGGGTTTGGGGGAATTCTGGGAGTTGGTGATGGACAGGGAGGCCTGGCGTGCTGCAGTTCATGGGGTCATAAAGAGTCAGACACGACTGAGCGACCTAATTGAACTGAACTGAATCCATCATATCTCCTTTAGTTTGTGATTTTATGCTGGATATTACAGAGGTCACATTTATCAGTCAGGATATCTGCTATCAGTATTTGCTATCTGTTTTAGTAGAACTTAGTGTTTTACTGGCATACGAAAATTTACTTTTGTTTCAGCTTGATATTTTTGAGGCTTGTTTTAATTTTTTAGCAAATAGGTATAGAGTATTGTGATAAATGGTACTTCAAATCCGAGCATTTTCTGAATTTTCTATGGAATGCACATGGTGTTCAAGCTGGCCTCTTAACTCTGGCTATTTGGAACTAGGTAGCCTACTTTTGTGCAATTTTTCACTTGGAACTTTTGTTACAGTTTTTGTTTTTGTAGTAGGTATTTTCTTCCTAGTAATTGTTCTTCATCCAGTCTTTTAGGTGTGTAGCTCTTTATATGTGCAACTTTGTATTTGGACAAAAGTCATAGTGACTTCTCTGCATGTTCTCCAGCACTCATTATCTTGCCTGAAAAAGTCAAGCTATCCCAATAGCTCCAGTGTTAATTTCTTTATCTGAACAAAATCGTCATGCTCTGTTTGAGCTACCCATCTCTGCAATGTATTCAGAAAAATTGGCTCTCA